TGTAGATTGAGTCCTGCCTCACTAACACAACTGCCACCCATCCTCCCTCATTACTGTCACAGAGGCAGGATTTACAACATATACGAAAATCATACAATATCGGGAATCGTAGCCCAGCCAAATCGATACACACATTTTTTGGGGGGACATAATTCAATCCATGACAGAAGTTCTGTAACTATACCATTCATTCCCCCTTTTTTGTTTTGTTTTGTTTATGAAGTTGTCATCAATTTCAGATTGACATCTCTGGTTTCCTTTTTTCGGTTCTGTAGCTTTATTTTACTTTTGAGATTCCTTTATCTGGATTGGGATCTTGGTGATGCCGTTGTGTGGTTCACTCTCAGGTTGTTGTTGTCTGCTGTTGTTGGTTCTCTCTCTGAATGACTCCCTTTAATATTCTTGTAAGAATGGTCTGGTTTTTTCAAATCCCCTTAATTTCTGTTTATCTGGGAATGTCCTAATTTCACCATCATATTTGAGAAACAATTTTGCTGGATATATGATTCTTGGTTGCAATTCTTTTCCTTCAGGGTTTTATATATGTCATTTCATTGCCTTCTAGTCTGCATGGTCTCTGCTGAGAAATCAGAGCTTAGTTTTATTGGAGTCCCTTTGTAGGTGATATTTCATTTTTCCTGAGCTGCTCTCAGAATTCTTTATCTTTGTATTTGGAAAGTTTGATTATGATATATCTTGGTGACATCCTTTTGGGGTCTATCCAGTATCAGGTTCACTGAGCTTCTTAGATGGAAATCTTCTCATCCTTCATGATATTGGAGAAGTTTTATTCCAGCAAATCTTCAAAAATTCTGTGGTTTTTTTTTTTTTTTTTTGTCTCCTCGATTCCCATCATGTGTAAATTGTTCCTCTTCATAGTGTCTCATATAACTCTTAGGCTTTCTTCATTTTTATTCATTCTTTTTTCTGATTCTTCCTCAAATTGGTATCAAGGGATTTGTCCTCTATTTTGCTAATTCTTTCTTCTGTTGTTTCAATTCTACTTGTATATCCTTCCATTGAGTTATTTATTTCTGATATTTTATTGTTAATCTTCTGGATTTCTAGTTGCTGTTTTTGTATGATTTCTAATTGCCTATTTAATTTGTCATTTTGTTCTTGTATTGTTTTCCTGAATCTTCTAGGGTTTTATCTGTGTTTTCCTTGATCTCTTTGAGGACCCTATATATAAGCCTTTTGAATTCCTTATCAGGCAGTTCCTTTACCATCTCTTCCTCAGGAAGGTTTCCTACCCCTTTATTTTGGTCATTTTGTTGAGCCATCTTGTCTTGTTTCTCTGTATGATACGATATTGTCTGCTGTCTCCGAGGCATTAAGGTGTTGTCTTTTTTATGATTTTTGTTTTGTTTTGATTTATCAGTGGGGGTGGGTTGGGCATGGTTTGGTGAGATCACTCATCTGGAGGCACAGGAGCGTTCACTTCCTGCCCCCAACTGGATGGGGTGACAGCAGGCAGGACAAGCCCTCATCGCTGTTTACTGTATGTGTGAGATGGCTGAGGGCATACTGGGTGGGTGTTATCCAGCAGTACAGGAATGCTCACTCACCAGGTGGGCAGGTGATGGGCAAGGAGCAAGGTGGGAGTTTGGGGGGTGCTAAGGTACTCCCTCCATCTGGGGGGCAGTGCAGTCAGATGGGACATGCAGGCACTGTCTCCAGTGGCAGAGGGGTGGTGTGGTTGGCTGGTGGGCACACAGACACTCTTTCCAGTGGGGATGCGGTGGGTAGTCAGGGGTTGCACAGGTGCTCTCTGGCAGCGGAGGTGTGGGGCAGGAGACCAAAGGTCATGTTGGCGGTCTCTCCAGTGGTGGGGGGAGGCATGTAGGGCAGCTGGGGGGAACTCTGGAGCTCTCTCTGGTGGGGGAGTGGTAGGGTGGGCGGGTGGGGTCACACAAGCACTCTCTCCAATGGAGGAAAAGAGGGATGGGCGGATGGGGCGGGGGAAGAGAGGAAAAAATATATATAAAAAGAAAAAACAGGGGAGGTTCATCTACTGCTCCATGCTTGCCACTCACCTTACCAGTCAGACACCATCGCTGGAGAGTTGCCCTGGCTCTGGGTCCTGGCTCCTTCCCTGCTCTGTGTACTCCGGGATCCCTGAAGCTCTCATCCATCTTCCTGTACTTTCCCTCCTTATCGCCAGTCCATGTCCTGCTCACCTTGCTTCACTCTAGGTATGTCAAAACAGTTTCTCTGTCTCCTGTTGGGAGTTCTGTCATGTTGTCTTCCTGTGCTCCTCACCCATGGTCGCTGCTGGCTTTGTCTCAAAATGGCCCCACTGTGCTGGGCTGTCTGGCAGGGCACCTCTACTCTGTATCTCTCCCCATTTGCTGCTATCAGTCAGTTTCTTCTTCCAATTGGTTTTTCATCTAATTCTATATCCTTTCATTTGATGCTCAGGGTTCCATGGTTGTCATCTCTATCTGTTTCACTTTGTTTCTCGGGTCTTTTCTATAGAGGGACGGCATGGTGCATGTGACTAGGTCGTCATCTTGAATCCAGATCCTAGGGACCAATTCTGAGAACCACTAGCAGAGCAGTGGTTCTAAAAATTTATTATACATAAGAATCACCTGGGAATCTTGTTAAAATATAGATTCTGATTCAGTATATCTAGCAGTGGAAATGCAAATTCTCAGCAGGGGTTCAAACTGGAACAAACTGGTTCAAACCCCTGAGTGCAACATAATAGATAGCCATTAAATGATAGTAAAAACAAAAATTCAAGGGTGGCTTTCTAGTTGAAGCCCTTGAATACAAATAAAGTTCAAAAATCAGCTGTAACAATATAAAATACACAGATCTTTTTCTTTTTAGGTAATCTTTTATAGGTCTGCTTCAATACAGAATAAATCTAAAAAGATTAGTATGCTTGTTTAAGAGAAATAATATATATAATGTCTCTACTAAGTACTTACTTGTTAAGAAGACTGAACACAATATATGTACTCAAAAACTAATAAAATGTTTTTTTAAAAAAAGAAAAAAACTATTTCAACAGGATATTTATTAATTCTAAAGTATCTGGACCTGACAATTATTTGTCAAAAACTTCAGTACTAAACTGCAGTTCTGGCATCAATTAAATACCGTTAGATAAGACAATAAAATCTGTTTTAAAGCCCTGTTCTTAATTTGATATTTTATGTAGAATACTAGAGGGTAATCAAACTTAATCATAAGATGAGATAATCACACAGGGATTTAAACTACCAGAAGCAGACCCTTGGTCTGTTGCTGGGGTATTCATTAGCTTCCTTTTGCCTTTTCTATTCTGCTTTCAAGCTCAGGTAACAATTTGGCTCAGTATTAGTTAGAAAATGACTGTGGTCTGGTAACCACCTGATCTTAAAAAGTTTTCAGTAAGACATTGTCATTGTTAACTTAGAATCAAAAGTTATCACAGTTCTGAGTTAGGAATTATCCGATGAGTCATGAGTAGACAAAGCAAACATAGCACTCATTTGTTTCTTCTGGTATACCAAATTAAAGATCTAAAGATCGAAATAAAGTGTGCAAGCTTACTTTATAGTTAGGACAATAAATGGCAATATAGCCAAGCCCAGACCCTTCTACTTAGAGTACTGGTAAAAGCACTGGGCTTAAGGTAAAAGATCTGGCTTACAAGCCAGAATGGTGACCTTGGATAAATCATCTGCCTCTCTCTGAGAATCACAGTTTTTCACGTTTAAAGTCTAATTAACCTCTAAAATCCTTTCTCATACTTAAAAAAAAAAAAAATCTATGGTTTGATTGATTGATTGATTCATTGGACTCAGTCTCTCCTCTCTTTTGTTAGCTCCAATTAAAGACATGGACACTCGGTGCACTCATCGTTCAGTGGTCCAGTCCACACTCCAGAATGGCGGTAGCCAGCCATCTGTGTGTGCAGGGTTTGTAAGGCAGAGTTCTGCGAATGAAGACCACCTGAGTTAACTATCAATCACAAACAGTATTCCTAGTTTTTATGTTTTTAATGACTAAAGCCAGATATTTTGGAGTTGTATATGAAGAACAGAGGGTCACTGAAGTGAAGCTGAAAGTCAGAATAATTTCTGCCCCATCAGCTGAGATGTTAATTGCATTATATAGCTATTTTTACTCAATTATACATATAAAAAGGTCTCTGGGTGGAGTAAATGGTTTGCACTCGACTACTAACCTAAAGGTTGGTGGTTTGAACCCACCCAGCAGCACCTTGGAAGAAAGGCCTGGCAATCTGCTTCCATGAAGATTACAGCCAAGAAAACCCTATGGAGCAGTTCTACTTTGTAACACATGGGGTCGTCATGAGTCGGAGTTGACCTGATGGCAACAGATTTAGTTTTTGTTTTCTTCATACATTGAAAAATAAGAGGGTACTCCACTGGAAAAAGCAAAATAATGTAGCCTAATAACCTGAAGGAAGAAAAAACTGGCAAGTGAATCAATTTTCATCTAAAATCAAAATACTGAGACTTCTATTAGGACATAGGCTTCTTGAGAGTATGATGCAAACAGCTTCAGCCTATTGGGAAGCCTGTGCCGTCAGAGCAGCACAACAAAAGGTGAAGAGTGAAACAATCTCGGTTGGTGGCTCGGCTTTGTCATTTAGTAGCTGTGTGACTTTGGACATGGACTCAAGACTCTCACTTGTAAAAGGAGACATACTGGGAGGGTCAATTAAGAGAATGCATGTAGACTGGCAACTTAGCAAAGGGCCCGGCACACAATAGTAGCCAGGGTTGTCTTATTACTAATGCAAAAGAAGTATTTGCTGAATGAGTGCTTTGAGTCTGAATCAGTAACAAAAACAATCTATAGTATAAATAGCACTTGCCTCTGAAATAAAATGCACACTGGCCACAAGATCTATGAGAACACATTGACAAGAACGTGAAGTTTCTGTGATGCAAGGATTCTTACATCTTAGAGAGGCACTTAACACGCCAGCAACCTACTCCAGGTGAAAATCATTTCTGATGAAGCAATGTACTTACCTTCCTTATCACTCGACGCTTGGTCACCTGGGAAAAATGCAGCGGACTGTACCCGGGCACCAACATTTATTTTATTGGTTTTTAATGCCACTATAGTCTGATTCACCTACAAAGTAACCAACAGGGGAAAGTCAGGGAATTTCTAGCTTAACTTCAGAAATCGATGGCTTTATCGATGGTCCCCAGTCCATTTAAGATCCAGGGAGAAGTATATGCCAGATATCAGAAGTTGAGATATGGCTGCACATTTGGAGAAAGTTGAGAGGCAGCAACAATATATCTAGCTGATCGAAACACATGGACTTCCTAAGGCCCACATACTATTGAAAGGTGTGGTGATAGAGACCCCTGACTCTGGGGCCAGGATGCTTGGGTGTGCTCTGTGACCATGCGCAAGTTACTTAACCTCTCTGTGCCTCTATCTGTAAAAGAGGGAGAAAAAAAGTACCTACTTCGTAGGATTGTTGTGAGGGTTAAAGCCCTTAGAACAGAATTTGGCACAGACTAAATACTACATAAGTGCTATTACTTGTATGTAGTAATTTTCTAAACAGAATAAATAATATAAATTTCCCACTTCCTAGGAAGTTAAGAAAGTAAACACAATCATAAATGTAAATTTCACTTTGCTATGCATGCCATGGAGCCCTGGTAGCTCGGTGGTTAAGAGCTCGACTGCTAACCAAAAGGTTGCCAGTTCGAATCCACCAGCTGCTCCTTGGAAACCCTGTGGAGCAATTCTACTCTGTCCTATAGGGTCGTTATGAGTTAGAATCGACTTGATGGCAATGAGTTTTTGTTATGCATGCCATAAAGGAGCCTAGTAGTGCAGTGGTTAAGTGCTCAGCTGTTAACTGAAAGGTCAGTGGTTCGAACCCACCAACTGCTCCGTAGAGAAAGATTTGGCAGTCTGCTTCCATAAAGATTACAGCCTTGGAAACCCCATGGGGCAGTTCTACCCTGTCCTATAGTGTCGCTATGAGTCGGAATTGACTTGATGGCAACGGGTTTGCTTTGTATACATGCCATTATCATTTGCTAAAAGCAAAAACTAAACACCAACACCAAGATTCTGCTGAGTTTCATACTCATTCTTCACTCACACAGAATACTACCATTACAGTACAGATGAAAAGTGAAACATAGTGGCATTTTTTAAAAGGTACTATTTTGTACATTAAGACTCTGACTAGTTCTACAGGGTTCATTTCCAGGTTCCTTGGCTCCCACTGTGCCCAGTAACATGATACGACATACAAACATGTTTTTCACATGTAAAAATAAAAGAATCTTAGGAAACAGTACTATAACTGCTGGTATCCACTGAACTTGCTGAAGCTTTTTCATCAGTCGATCTGGTTTGGTGAAGTTGTGAACCAATGTGAATGTACACTTCCTCAGACCAGGGGCTTTCAAAGTGTTTTTATTTTTTTGTTTTGTCTTACCGTAACCCACAGTAAGAAATATACAGCAACCCAATACTCAAATACATATATAAATGTATTTTCATACAGCCATACTTAATACTTGCCTTTACTCTGTGATGTACTTTGATACATTCTGTTCTATTCTATTTTCTATTCCACTCCAAGAGAAATGCTGGCTATGACTTACTAAGTCAATTTGTAAAATGCTGGCCTAGACCTTGTATTAAGTCATAATTCTTACACTCACTAAGGCAGTGATGGTTTGCCTGGAAGGTGACCCCTCTTCAGAATCCAGACAGTGAATCATCTAAGCCCTGAGCGGCTGCGTGTGGGCAATACCAACCTCTCAGACACCTGCAGGACTGACAGCAGCAAATGCACATCAGGCCTGGCATTGCCTGGCTGGGAAGGCTCAAATTTACACCAACAAAGAACAAAGCATTCTTTCACTCAGTGTGAGGATCAGGAAGAACGGGGATGCCAGCCAAGGGAGAACATCAGGCTGACTGCAGAGATACATGAGTTAGGGAGGATAAAAACGCAAAGATTTCTTCTCATACTTGGATATTTCTAGTTTTCCTCTTTTACTTGGACATATAACATGGACTTTGAATTTAGACTTACTGTCTTCTCTAAAGATTTTTAAAAAGGAGCATTAAATTTTTATTTTCCCACGAGGCACTTAGAGAGGTAATATACCTTTTTTTCCAGCCACTTTAGTGTCTTCTCTTTGCTGTACTTGTAATATTTTTTGCTGTCTATTTCTGTAGTAAATTAAAAGAAAAAAAAAACAGCATGGTGGATCACACATGAAATAAACTCATAAGGTTCTATCACATACAAATACAATTAATAATTCAAAAATATTTCATAGTAGTTCATGCTCTTAAAAGATTCAATTTATAAATCTGAGATCCTACTTGGATGGAAAAAAAAAAAATCCCAAAACAGAGTTTGGGCACCTCAGGGTTCATCCAGCCACTAAATGAGGCGGAAATTAAAGAAAATCATCAAATTATACAAACAAATTATGGAAAAGGTAATTTTTTTTTTAAGACTCATTAAACTAACATGCCAGTCAACTTTAATTTTTCTGAATAATTTTAAGCTTACCTTGATGTTTTTAAATGAAAGACTTCTCTTCTAAAATGATAATGGAAATTCCAAGAAAGAAAATAGAAACTAAATGCAGATGTCTAAGGCTCATTGCGAACATTCAGGAAAATAAATAAATCAATCTTGTTAACTACTCATACTGCGCTGGTAGGACTAGTACAGCAGAAAAGAAATAGAACCATAGCTATTTCAAGGGACTTTGGATTTATGGTAGGCTCAACCTGGCCCTTTATGGGAATAAAAGTCTGACCTCTTACAAATTATACTTCTGCTCCTCACAATCCACTTAGCTTTATATGCTATGTCATTAAACCACTGTTTTCCTCTGTAACACTTATTCACGGGGTTGCTTGCTGGCTGAGTAACTAGCAAAGGCAGCACTTCCACTCCCCTGCCTCCTCCCTCCCTCCCCGGCAGGATTGTCTTCATGACCACTGTAAATCCTAGGCCAGATGCAGGTGGCCACATGTGAGCCTGTGGGAGCTGTCCTAGGGTGATACAGAAGGACTTTTCTCTTGCTCCCCTCTGTAATCGTGGTGGGAAATGGAAAGTACTTACTCAGGGATAGTTTTCTGCAGTCTGTTAAAACTACATGAGCACCACTAAATGAATCCTGTGTGACAGGGGCTGGGAGGTCCCAGGCCTCAGTTCCTGTGCGCTTCCTCTCCATTTCGGTGATGTTGGTATCAACATTATGGGCAATAATAAGGCAGGATGGAGTAGGGGCTGGGCCTTTGCACCCATATCCTCAGGACATGTCATGGCAATAACAAAAAGGAGGGACATTTGAAATTGGCATGTCAGCACTTTGAGAATTCAAAGGGGCAATGTCTGCCACACTGCAGCCAGGCTGCCTGGGCTCCCAGCCTGCTGTCCAGCTTTCTCATTTCATTTCTCAGAATGACTCTCAGGTGGAAACCACCATTCACCCCCATCTTAAAAGACAGGGTTTGAGTGCAGTTAAGTACATTGTCCAAAGTCACTGAGCTAGTCAGCAATGTTTTTGTCATGTTTGGTGTACTGGTCTTGCACATGTTGTGTTAAAGTTATCCCTTAGCACTTCATGAGTCCCTGAGTGCTCAGCTGCTAACCATAAAGTTGGTGGTTTAAGTCACCCAGAGGTGCCTCAGAAGAAAGGCCTGGTGATCTACTTCCAAAAATTAGCCATTGAAAACCCTATGGAGCACAGTTCTGTTCTGACATACATGGGCTTGCCATAAGTAGAGGTCCATTCAACAGCAAGTGGTAAAAAAAAAAAAAAAATTCATGATTTTTGGTATTATGAACAGTATGTTTTTATTCCATTACCCAATTGTTCACTGCTAGCATACAGATAGATTCCTTTGGATTTTTTAACATGCGTGACAATGAATAAAGACAGTTTTATTATTTACTTTCCAATTTGTATGATTTTTATCTCTTCTTTGTCTTTTTGAGCCTGCCAGCACTTTCACTACAATGCTGAATGAAAGCTGTGAGGATATCCTGGCCTTGTACCCAAACTTAGGGGAAAAGTGTTCCATCTTTTACAGTGAAGCATGATGTTAGCTGTAAGTTTTTCATACATGTTCCTTATCAGATTGAGGAAGTTCCCCTTTATTCCTAATTTGCTGAGAATTTATATCATGATTGAATTTTTTCAAATGCTTGTTCTGCATCGATTGAGATCATCATATGGTTTTTCTTTTGTAATGTGTAAATATGGTGAATTACACTGATTTTCTAATGTTGAACCAACTTCGCATTCCTGTGATAAACTCCACTTAGTCATAATGTATTATCTTTTCTATATGTTAAATTTGCTAATATTTTGTTAAGGATTTTCAGTCTATGTTTACAAGAGACCATTGATTTAGTTTTCTTTTTGTAATAATTTTGATTTGGTATTGGGTCAATTCTGATTTCATAAAATCAGTTGCAAAATTTTCCTTCCTCATTTATTTTCTGAAAGAGTTTCAGTGGGATTGGTATTATTTCTTCTGCAACCAACAAAAAAAAAAAATCTGTTGCCATCAAGTCAATTCTGACTCATAGCAACCCTATAGGACAGAGTAGAACCGCCCCATGGGATTTCCAAGGAGCAGCTGGTGGATTCGAACTACCAACCTTTTGGTTAGCAGCCAAGCTCTTAACCACTGTGCCACAAATAAGGTAGAATTAACCAGTGAAGCCATCTGGGCCTAGAGTTTTCTTTCTAGCACGTTATTAATGACAAATTTATTTCTAAATTAAACATTCCCTGGACAAGAGATCAGTAAGAACCATCCAGCTTGAATATCCCAAAATTCTACACAAGGACGAAGTACATAAACTACTGCTTAATTTTTAAATTTATACATTTTGATAAGCAAGGAGATTTAAGACATTCATGAAGGCAACAGACTACTCATAATTCTGAAAAACACCACAACATGTTTGCGTCCTAAATTGAGTATTTGTGAGAGCTGGAGAGTTTGATAATATGAGCTACTCTGGAAAGGTTTTTCCCCTAATGTGTCTGGTACCTATAAAACTGGTCTCAAACATCTGGAAAGATTAGATTTAGAAAATCTGGAATAAAAGTGAGTCCACAATTAAATAGCATATTCTGCAACTGGGTAATCGGTTCACAAACGTGAATTTCCCTGATGTATTGCTGAACAAACTGCCTGAAGCACATTTTAGCACCCACTTCCTCAACGTTTTCCATAACTGAGAAACTCATATGGTCTCTTTTTTCCTGCCTCCTGGGGATAGAAACTTGGCAGGTAGACTTGGGGTATTTTAATCAGGTAAGTTTTCCTGGCTCTTCCTGTTAATCACATCAGACAGTACAGTGCAGCCTTTGCCTGCAACATGAAACAAAGTGTAATGCTCAAGAATGAAGTCCATAACCCTTTACTGGTCCCTTCTCCTGTCATCTCTCCACTGTACATGAACTTCTTTGGCAAGAAATGTGCTTTGCAGCCCAGAGCTAGCAAGCAAAGACACATCATTTCTTTCTCTAATAAAGCAGGTAGGGCAAAGGTCACTGCCATCATCATTCAGGGTGCAAACAACCACAGCTTCATCACTGGGAGAAGGGAGGAGGGAAGGTTCTCACAGACCTAGCAGAGTAAACCAAATCTTTAATGCCACAGACTTTCAAGACAGCATCTGGCGTTTAATTTCAAAATAGCTGCTTGGAGAACTTAAGTACTACAGGTTTATTCTATCTGCAGAAGCATCCATGAGTGGATGGAAGTTAAAAAATAGCAGCTTTCTTCTGTATCTTTGCTCCCGGTCATGGATATTACCTGAATACTCTTTTTGTTTCTTTTCTTTCCAGTTGCAGTTGAGTCAACTTCGACTCGTGGCAACTCCATGTGTGTCAGAGTAGAACTGTGCTCCGTAGCATTTTCAATGGTTGATTTTTTGGAAGCAGATCATCAGGACTTTTTTCTGAGGCGTCTCTGGGTACGCCTGAACCTCCAAACTTCTTGTTAACAGCCGAGCACGTTACCATTTGTACCACCCAGGGACTCTGACCGCTCTTTAGTAGTCATCTTTTTTCTTTTTTAAAAATCACAGAAATAAAATACAGAAAATGGAATTAAACATTAATTTATAAATGGACAATAATCCAAATTCAAATAAGCAGTCAGTACTCAAGGCAGTCACTAAAAGACGACCTGCAAGGGACCACGGTGCCTGGAATAGAGAGCCTACCGCTAGGGTGAGGAGGAGTGTCTTTTCCATAAGCTGTCAAAGATCTCTGTCTCCTTCTTCATGCCACACAAAGATGAATTATTAATAGCAGGTATACACGATTTAAAAAAAAAACAAGTTCCAATTTTACACGAAACAACACCTAAAAACCCTAGTAGAGCATTTTAGAAGTGTTGCAGAGCTGTAAGAAGGAAGGAAGAAAGAGGAAAGGAAAGAGTCGGTGTCAGACAGACGCGAGGTTCAGTTCCTGGTTTCACCACTTCTAGCTCTGTGATGTTAGTCAAGTTACTTAAATTCTTTGAGCCACTGTTTCTGCATTTTTAAAAATGCAGGTTATAATGTCAGTGACAGAATTGCTGCAAGGATTAAGTAATACATGTAGAACAACTGGATAACAGGAGTTCCTGGTGCTGCGAACAGTTAAGTACTCAACTATTAGCCAAAAGGTTGATGGTTCAAAACTACCCAGAGGCACCTTGGAAGACAGGCCTGGTAATCTGTTTCACAAAGGTCACAGCCTTGAAAACTCTATGAAGCAGTTCTACTCTGCACACGTGGGGCCGCCATGAGTCTGAGTCGACTTGATGGCAATTAACAATAACAGAACAATAAGCACAGTGCCTGGTACACAATAATTTCTCAATATGTGGTAGCTACTTTTATTATTATCTAGTTATACCCATTTTCCTACTTAAACCACTTGAATATATACTAACCAACTAACCGTCAAACACGTGTACTGGTCACTTTCTGTGTACCTAGTACTTAAAGTATATATTAGCAAAGAATTAAAATTTTCTAATTCAGCAAGTTTTAATAATACTAATATTTATTGAGCATTTATGATATACCCAGGACTCTTCTGAGCATTTACTTGCTTGTATTATTTCATTTAATTCCTAAAACTCTCTTTGCGGTAAATGCTAGATGCTATTAACTGCAATACGTATATAATGTTCAT